ACATCCGGCCTCCCAGCCTCCCTGCTCTCATGCCCCCCACACCCCTTCCAAGGGAACCCAGGCCTCCTGCTCCCAGCCCCCACCCCCACGCCCCTCCCACAGAATGGAGGCTTACCTGTGGGCCAAGGGCTGCCAGGCCAAGGTGGGGCAGGGAGGCAGCGGTGGCAGCAGGGGCCACATCAGCTTGGGCATAGGCCACCCACTGGCGCACTAGAGTGGCCTGGGGCAGGCCACAGCCACGCAGGGCTGGGGGGGCCAGCAGGAAGGTGACAGCGGTGGCTCCGGTCACGCGCAGCCCCCCTGGATCCTCCAACGCTGGCAGCCGGGGCAGGGCAAAGGGACCAGGAGGTGTCAGATCGGGCACAGGCACCACACGGGGTGGACAGGGGGCAAAGCGCGATACCACCAGCGCCTGCCGGCTGCCCACATCTTCGGCACAGGGGGACACAAACAGCGTGGCCATGTCCAGGCCTGGGACAGGGGAGAAAGAAAGGGGGTGAGAACCCAAGCATCCAGGCTGCCAGCGCCCCGTGCTGTAACCCACTGGAGCTCCTGGGGCCCACCCAGGGGTCCAGGCTCCCAACTCCAATCCAGCAGCTCCCCATTCCCAGCGGCAGAGAACCCAGACATTCAGGCTGTCAGCTCCCCCCCACTCTGATCCCCCTCCCTGATCCCCAACGCCACCCCCGCTCCTAGGAACCTGTGTCCCAGCTGATGCAATCCCATGGACACCCTCCACCAAAAGGGACCCAGGTGTCCAGTCATGCCCCCTATAACAGTGGGTCCTACTGTAATCTGGGGAGGAGGGAGGGAATTATAGTGGGTTGTACCATAATTCTAGGGAGTAGGGAGGTCCCACCATAATTCTGGAAGGGGAGGGTGGAATTACAGGGGGTCCCACTGTAACTAGAGGGGAGAAGGATTATAGTGAGTCATATCATCATTTGGGGGAAGGCGAGGCGGGAATTACAAAGTGGTCCTATCATAATCCTGGGGGAGGGTTAGAGTGGGTCATACCATAATTGGGGGGTACCATAATTCTGGGGGGAGGGGGAAATTATAGTGGGTCATACCACAATTCTGGGGGGAAGGGAGGAATGACAAGGGATCCTATCATAATCTTGGTGGAGTAGGGAGATTATATTATATATTTGCATCTTTTTTGTACTGTTTTTGATGCATGCAGCCTTGCTCTGTTCACATCCATCCAGAAAGCTGATGTAAACATTATTTTCCTAGCCTGTAACTTTGACATGCTGCTCCTCTTGGTGTATCTCTCTGTTAGTTCTTCCTTCTCTATTGCAGTCTAACAAAAGCTGCAAGGCACTGCACCTAGGGAGGAAGAACCAGCAGCATACCTACAGGCTGGGGAACTCCCTTCTCGAAAGCACAGAGGCAGAAAAGGATCTTGGTGTCATTATAGACTCCAAGATGAACATGGGCCGACAATGTGAGGATGTGGTCAGTAAGGCTAACCGCACCTTGTCATGCATCCACAGATGCATCACAAGCAGGGCCAAGGTGATCCTCCCTCTCTATGCGACACTGGTCAGGCCGCAGCTGGAGTACTGCGTCCAGTTCTGGGCACCCCACTTCAGGAGGGATGTGGCCAGCATCAAGAGGGTCCAGAGGAGGGCCACCAGCATGATCAGGGGGCAGCAGGGCAGGCCCGACAAGCGGAGGCTACGGGACCTGAACCTGTTCAGCCTCCACAAGAGAAGGCTGAGAGGGGATCTGGTGGCCACCTACAAACTTGCCAAGGGGGACCAGCAGGCAATGGAAGAGTCCCTGCTCCCCCGAGCAATACCGGCAGTAACAAGGAACAACGGCCATAAATTGATGGAGAGTAGATTCAGACTAGATATCAGGAGGCACCACTTCACAGTCAGGGCAGCGAGGATCTGGAACCAACTTAAGGGAAGTGGTGCTCGCTCCTACCCTGGGGGTCTTCAAAAGGAGGCTACATAGACACCTAGCCAGGGTCGTTTGACCCCAGTGCTCTTTCCTGCTAAGGCAGGGGGTCGGACTTGATGATCTGCTCAGGTCCCTTCCGACCCGACCAACTATGAAAATATATGGGATCCTGCCATAATTCTGAGGGGCTATAGTGGGTTGTACCACAATTCTAGGGGAAAGGAAGAAGAATATGAGGGCCCTACCATAATTCTGGGGATGGTATTATTAGTGGGTTGTATTATCATTGGGGGGAAGGCCAGGGGGCCCTGCCATAATTCAGGGGTGACAGAGGGATTATATAGGGTTCTATCATAATTCTTGGGTGGGGGTGGGGATTACAGTAAATCCTATGCGAATTCTGAGGGGTTTACAGTGGGTCATACCATAATTCTGCGGGGAGGGGAATTATATGTGGTTTCACCATAACTGTGCAGGGGGGTGCTATAGTGAGCCCTCCCAACACTGTATGGGAGGGAGAGGAATGGCAGAGAGTCCTACCATAATTCGGGGGGAGGGGAGATTATAGTGAGTCCTACCTTGACTGGGGTGGAAGGGTAAAGGATGACAGTAGGCCCTACTATATC